ACATGCCCGTTGGTGGAAGGTACATGACAAGATGCCAAAGAAACTTCAGCACTATTGTCTTTTGAGATCAAGGCAAAAGGCTGGGTTGGAGTGGGATCGGAGGCAGGCTGAGAAAGCAAACTTCACCGATGGACATTGGCGGAGGAACATAACTGATCCTAGGCTGAAAACTTGCTTTGAGAAGTTCTGCTTCTGGGAGAGCATGTTATGGCACTGGGGTGAATCCAAGAACTCAACGAAGGAAAACCCTGTGCCGGCCACACCTACCGCGAGCCTCACAAGTTCATGAGATGTGTAGATAGCCCTATACCAGATACAAACTTCTAAGCTCCATACATACATAGCAACAGCTTGTAAAGGTAGCTATGCTTAGGTTTCTCGACAAAACTATACCTTGTGTTTGCTATCATGGCTTCGGCTCCACTCTGGCTGCTTTGATAGCTCACAATTTTTTTGGTTTTTTGGCCAATAATTCATCAGTATAGGTAAATTTTCTGTTCATGAATTGTTTGGTCAGTCTGGGGTTGGTTGTTGCTCGGCTGCAATAGCCTAGTTCGATGTATGGTGGTTGAACTGTTTCGGTGATAAAATCTGGAGTGACGCAACATGAGATTGCTGACCAGCAAACACTGCCTCATTTTGACATGAAATACAGTATTGTTTTAAAATTGAGTTGGATTAATACGGTCACGGCTGACATCCACAGATGGTTGGACGTTGGAGCAGCTGGGGCCATTTTGCACTGGAAGTCCCTGAAGCACACGAGGTTGTATGTATGCTTTGCTTATATTTGGCATACTTAGTTAAGGCTTAAGAGATGGGAATCTTTGTTTTTCTCATAGCAATTAATTGCGGGACTTGCAATCAAACATGCATTCAAAACTCAAGTGATGAGCCCCATTCGTGGGGCACTGATGCACAGCTGCACAGGCAGAGAGGCAGTGCCAACCTAACAATGCAGCATTGAAACGCACTGCTGCTCACTGCAGGTGTGGAACATGGGCACAACCAGATTTCTGAAGAGATCTGGTGGCAATGCCATGCTGCCAAAGAAGAACAACATCATAATTTCCCAGTATCAATTATTTAGCCATGCTTCCGTTCCTTCGAGATGCAGCCTTTCGGGGGTAGCTCATGCTGCTGCCCTTTTCCAACGGCAACGCACCGACTAAAGCAGAAGTGTTAGGCTGTACAATTTCTAGCAGCGTCGTTCGCCAAAGATACTCCTAATCTCTCTTTCTAGTAGTACTTCCCTTGTCCTTCAAGATGGGAGTAGTTGGAGGATTGCATCACAAGTGATTGACTAGTTTACTTCTCAAGAACTAGTAGTGGTATAATGCATTTATGCATCTACTGGTACTTTACTACATACTGGTACTGTTCATCCACGAGCTTGGCATTGGGGGCAGTACACAGCTAACGGAGTACATGAGCAAATTTTGTGAGAGAAGTAACTTGCAAATGCAGTGAGCCAGAAGCTGAAACATGAGGAAAATGTGAATTGCGTGAGCATCCCTAGCTAAATCTACAGGAGTCGTAGTAAACGAAACGGGTCAGCTACTAAGGTTTCATCAAGCTGTTGTTTATGAGGTTGCTGGACTTGTTACGACTTAGCACGAACATAAACAAATTCCCAGTGGGCTGCGAGACATTTCACGCGAATATCGTGGAAATCCTACCAACCCAGCCGTCCAGAGAGAGAGAGAGAGAGAGAGAGAGAGAGAGAGAGAGGCGTACGGGGTAGGAGTACACACGTGGTGGTGTTGGAGTCCGGGTGTCCCTTGTCCGGGCGAGCACGAGAGTGTGGCGCGGCCACCGAGTGTAGTATGTCATCTTCCGCGGCCCTGCGCCACAGGCAGCACCCACCAGCGTTGTCAGGCAAAGCGAGCGGTCGTCGCGCATGGTAGGGCATGGACCGACTCCACTCCAGTGCCCACTGCCCTAGGCAGGGAGGGACCCTTCCCGCGACACGCGTCCTCTCGTCGTACCTGGTGCCAGGCCAGACGCCAGCTTTCGTGCTTTGACCGGCTAAAGAAAACGGGAGGGCGAAGGGATTACCCTACTACAGTCTTGTGCAAGCCGTCGCCGTCGACGCGGAGGAGGGCCGGCCGGTCCTCACGCTGGGACGTACCGCGTACGTGACGGCGTGTGCGGGGATGCCATCTGCCATGCCGGTGGCAGCGGCAGCGGATCGGGGGCGGCTAGTCAGATTGGCATGGGGACTTCGCCGAGTTCGGCTGCGGGGGCTTCGAATCGGAGAAGTTTTCGCTCAGAAATAGCGGATCGGGGCAGCTCCCGGCCGGTGCACCCGGTGGGGTTGGCGTGCTGCTCGGTAGCCGGATGGTCGATGGGTTGGCACGGATGCCACGGGCCGGACGTATTGGACTATTCGGTTGGTTTCTTGCTCGTGTTTTGCGTAGTGGATATGGTGGCCCTCGTAAAGGTTCTCGTGTTCGTGTTCGAGTAGTGGATATGGTGGGCCTCGTGAGGGCTCAGTAGTGGGCATGTGGTCATCCGGTACAGAAGGAAAGAAGCCCACAAGGAGAACGTGTACAAAGGATGAACCGAACTCAAAGGAAAAAGTTCAATCAGAGTTCCTAAAAAATATAGATCGGATATTATTCGTACAACCATAAAACCAGTTAAGAACGACTCCCTCTACTATTAATACAGGTTCAAATTTACCTCCACATGTGATTTGGACAATGGTTTTTGTCTTATGTGCCGGCACACTAACCTAGTCTTTATCCTACGTGGCACATCTATCTATTATATATATTATTAAAGGAATAGAAAAATGAGTCTTTACGTTTGCTCTCATGGTCTAGAAATTTTCACATTAATCGGAGAAAAAGAAAAAACAGAGTTCATATAGAAATACAATTTAGAAATAGCTGAAATTCGGAATTAAAAAAAAGGAATATTAGAATAGGAGACTAGAGTCCATATAGAAATACAATTAGAAAATAACTGAAATTCGAAATTAAAAATAAGGAATATTAGAAGTAAAGTATAAAGTCCATATAGAAATACAATTAGAAAATAATAGAAATTCGAAATTAAAAATAAGAAATATTAGAAGTAGAGTATAGAGTCTATATAGAAATACAATTTAAGAAAAAAATAGAAATTCGGAATTAAAAAATAAGGAATATTAGAAGTAGAGTACAGAGTCTATATAGAAATACAATTAAGAAAAAAATAGAAATTCGGAATTAAAATAATAAGGAATATTAGAAGAAGAGTATAGAGTGAATTTAAAACTAACTAAAATTCAGAACAAACATAATAAAATTAAAAGTAGTGTTTAGAGTCCGTATAAAAATACAATTTACAAATAACTAAAATTTGAGATTAAGAAAAATATGGGAAGAAGAGTTTAAAGTCAATATAGGAATGCAATTTAGAAGTAACTGAAATTCGAAATTAAAAATTAAAGAATACTGAAAGATGAGTTTAGAGTACACATAGAAATACAATTAAAAATAATAAAAATGCAGAAATAAAAAAATAATATTATAATAAGAGCATAGAGTCTATATAGAAATACAATTTACAGAAAATTCGGAATTAAAAAAATAAATATTAAAAGACGAGTCTAGAGCCCATATACGAATATATATATATATATAATTTACAAATAATTAAAATTTGATATTAAAAATAATTAATAACTAACACGTATATAAAATACAATATGAATATTACCCATTAGTAGTTTCGTAAAGTTATTGCAAAATTTAAAATTATATCATTTTAATATATTTGAATAATATATTGAGAAAACATATATATTATTATTATATGAGAGAAAATATAATGATACTAGCCGCGCAAGCTGCGCAGGCCACCATACTAGTTTTTTTTAAATAGTGGACCCACATGTAAGTCCATGTCTCATATTCTTCATCACGTCTCCCTCTCTCTCTTTCCTCTTCCTTCTCTTCACTCTTCCTCCCATCACACTTCCAACAAACAGTAGAGACAGAGAGCCCGAGAGGGGTGGAGGTGGCGATGAACCGGAGCCAGGAGGGCACCGGTGACTATTCCCCTCTTCCTTTCGTCCTCTCTCCTAGGATTGGGGTGCCATGGTCGTCAGAAGCAGGAAGGGCGTGGAAGGCGGTGGTGGTTCCAGCAGCTCCCTACGAGTTGATTGACTTATTATTTTTTAATCATTTACATGTGGGATATATATATATATATATATATATATATATATATATATATATATATATATATATATATGTTTTAAATTTCTTTGATGATTGGGCTATCACATGAATGTCACATTAGTAAAAACGACCATCAACATTGTCAAGGAGTTTTTTTGCACGGGTTTAGTGGTTGCTAAATAAGATCGGACCTATATTGGGGACCTTTTCAAAATTCTAATCTGCTTCTATCTAAAATGATAAGTTGGTTAAGTTGGGCTTGAAGGTCGAACTCAAGGGTCCAAAGAAGGCCTCTCTGAACAAGTTGGGCTGGGCCCGTAAATTCTGTGTCGCATTTGATAATCTCATTCAAAAGGCAGTCAACACCCTTTGTCCATGTTCCTTACTACAATCCTACAGTCGAATAGATGGTCGTTTGCCAGGTTCGAAGTGGATTAGCATCGACGATCCACAAACATCTTGGCGCTTCTGTTTACTTGACATTGACTGGTGCGTCACGGCGCATTCGTTGTCCAGTGCACTTCCGAAGTGGGTAGGCGGAGGCGCAGAGCACAACTCCGAAGTTGGTTGGTCTTGGTTCAGTACTTCTGCTCGTTGGGTCGTAGGGCCGGTTGCGCACATCTGCATATGGGGCGGTGAAGAGGGCGGTGGTCGGTGGACGCTACGGCGGAAAAAAGGTTGCTGCGAGTGATGGCCTGATGGACCACCACTACGAGTGAGGCGAGATGATAATGTTCTGGCGACGCCTCAGTCATGCTAATTGCGGATAGCGCACGCGGCACGCCGAACCTATCTGCTTGTCTGCATCCGCACTCGGCCGACTCAAAATTGGAAATTTCAGCTGTTTCTTTTCATAGATTTAGCCTTCACGTTCACGGTCGGCTAGCACTAGATCATACATCCTCATTGATCAAGGAAAAGGCTTTGGCCACCCTTTCATTAAACATTATGCACGGCACAATGCGTTTGCACAGTTAAATGGCTATACGCCGTTGGCAGTTTGGCACCATCTCATTCGAGGGGATCACACAATGGACCACCATTTACTTCTTTTTATGCTGCTCTAACTAATGTATTTTGGGTATCCACTTGTCACCCTGTATGAAGCTGGCGACGCTGTACACGTCGACGTGGTCCCTGGGCACCTGGCTGCTCCACCCGATCCTGCTCCCGCTGGCGCCGTCGCCGCCGGGGCCGGCGCTCTCGTACTCGCCGTAGTAGAGCGTCTTGAGCGCGAAGTCGCCGTTCCACGCCATCCACCCGCGCGGCTGCACGATCTCGGAGAGCGTGCAGCCGACGTACACCGTGCGCGAGTACTCCTTCCAGGGCCGGCCCAGGTAGACGTGGTGCACGTCGGGCTTCTCCCTGTACAGCGCCATGTAGTCGTCGCTGCCGTTGACGACGCAGCCGCGGAGCACGATCCCCGTGGGCTGCGCCGGGTCGGTGCGCCCCTGCGCGGTGACGGCGTCGTTCTCGCCCTTCTCCGGGCGGAGCTGCCTCGGGAGGACGATGAGGGCGGTGTCGCGGAGGACGGTGGCCGAGTTGCCGAAGACGAAGTCGACGGTGCCAGAGACGCGGCACCGGGTGTAGAACTGCCGCATGGCGTGCGCGTACAGCGTGTCCTGGTGGCCCAGGAGCTCCACCGTGTCCAGCACCGTGCGGTCGCCCGTCGACCGGAACGCCACCGCCTGGTGCGCGTCGGGCCCGGCCGTGTTGGAGATCGTCAGGTCGCGCGCCATGAAGCCGTCCGCGAGCACGCCTGGAAACAGATAAGAGATTAAGATCACCAAACACATTACAGCCGGATTAGGATTACTGTGAGCACGAGTACGATCACGTCTCGTGACAGATAGTACATCTCAGGGTAAAGTTAAAACTGAGAGTTGTGACTAGCCGAACGAACCATGCCAGGTCTAGTCGGCAGTCCACGCCTAGTTTGGCTATCTGTTTGGCAGGGACCAACAAAAGGGAAAGGCACGAAAAGGTACAATCTTTTACTTTGCCTATGAGTAGAGAGGCTCGTGATGCTGGGACGCATTGTCGCTTCCGGCCACACTAATTGGATGGCCTAAGAACGAATAAAAAAGAACGAATGTTTCATTGCGCGATAAGCCGATTGATTAATCATTTGCAAGGGGGAAAACACAACAAGTATTTATCACATCCCACTATCCCAGATGGTTTGTACTCTCTTTCTCCTCCAAAGGTCTGGAGACAGAGCCTAATTCTGAAGAAAAAGATTGTTTTAGTTCAGTGCCAAATCTTGCCCTTCTAAATTTTGTAGTCTAAATAGTACTACCTGTGTGGTGTTTGGGGTTAAATGTAATACTTGCTACATCAATAGAATTCTCTATCAAAATATTGGTAGGGCCAAAACTTACCTAAAATTTAGGGCTACCAGGAAATTGGTGGGCCATGTACCTAAAGATTTGGAATCATCTTTGTAGTGTATAGAAATTTCATATCTGTCCAATTGTCCAATGAATTACTCTAGCACTTCAATGGCAATTAGCAGCCATTAACTGCATGCGGTACTACCACAAGTTTTTTTTTTTATAAAAAAAATATCAACACCAACTAAACACAGCATAACCAGGGTTTCCAAACCGTTGGGGCCGGGACTACCGCGCCTCGGCGGTAAGCACGGTTACCACGCAGTAACCGTGAAAAAACCCGTACGAAACCATGCAAAATTTATCAAAAATTTAAATTATTTTTTAAATTTATTTGAATTTAAGGAGGTTACCGCGGTTTTTCTATTACCGTACCCTGCGGTAACCGCGTGGTTACCGACGGTAATGTAAACCCTGAACATAACCAGACATGCACACAAATATATTTGTACATCAAAATTTGAACTAACGTAGGTAGAGTCATATATACACGACTCACCATCACACAAATGGCGTTCCCCTACTAAACAGATGTCCTAAAAGCGTGAAGTCAAACCTTGAAACCTTACATGCTTAATTAATTAAAAAATATTTAGATTTCACACAAAACCATATTGATAGATTTTCATGAAAAACACTGCAAGAAACTTATATTTTAATATATGGTATTTTTTTTACAAATATACATAGTTAGATAAATAGCGATAAAAAATGCATCAGGGATTGCGTTGATCTCCATGTAAGACTAGGGTAGGGTAGTGTCTGACTAATTATCATGGACAGTGGAAAAGAGATATTGGGGGTACAATTTTCACATTCTCATGGTTAAATAACTTCCTAATATAGACGTAGTCAAGTAGGGTTCACATCATCTATTATAATGACATTCTTGTTACAGACATTGACACGTAGAACGATAGAAGGGTGAGATCCATATATCAGGCCATCCACAATGGGTGTCCCTGGGTCGTCTCCCTAGGAACGGCCGTCTGCCCTCCGTTAGCTTTTCAGTCGGACCTTCTCCACTGCCAGGCGCGCGGCTCCTCGCTAGGGGTCGCATTCCTTAGCAACTTTTAGCTGAGACACCGAGCCGGGAGACGCATTGCAGAGGGCGTGGCTAGGTGAGTGTCCCATGGACACCGCTACCACCCCACATTTTACCGTTCCACCCCTCGCCCTCGTCGTTGGGAGTAGGTGACGACCGGCGACGACCCCGCGAAGGCGACGGGCGGAGGAAAAGGGGTGGCGGCGCGGCACACGGCCTCCGGCCGACCCCGTGACGCGCGAGAGAGAGAGAGAGAGAGAGAGAGAGAGAAATGGATCCGACGGCGCAGCACGCGACCTCCGGCGGCGACGAGGGATCCACGCGCCACTCGCCACCACCGGCGCCGTGCCTGCCACCGCCGGCGCCTCCCAAATCTGGCCGCGGGGGGCCCAGATCCGCCCACTACGGCGCCGGATCTGGCGCCCCCAACCGGCGACGGCGCGAGGCGGAGGATGCCGGGGAAGACAACGACGAGCGGCGACGGGAGAGAGGGAGAGAGAGGGGCGGCGGTGGATGCCGGCGACAGGAGAGGCGGCCCTCCTCATCGTCCTCGTGGCCGCCAGCGAAGGGAGAGGGGAGCGGCGGCGGCGGCGAAAAAAGAGGAGGGGGCGGTGGCGACACTGGCGAGAGAGAGAGGGCGGCGAAAAAAAGAGGGGGCGGGAGAGAGATTAGGGGTAGGGTAGTAAAAATAAACATGGGACTTTGTGGGCTGGGATACCCATTGTGGGTTGGAGTGTCTCTATTAAGTTTCTTCAGATTTTGAGGAGCACATCCAGGGGTGTCCTCTATTGCAAGCTAAGTTTCCTTATGAGTGTTTTTAGTTAGTGAAGATACTCTATGAGTGTCTCACAAGCTAAGTTTCCTTATGAGTGTCTTTAGTTAGTGAAGATACTCTATGAGTGTCTCACATCTAGGAGTGTCTCACATCGTGGATGCTCTCAATAACTGTAATGGTAGTATGTCAGAGGATCCTCACGCATGCCGAACGCAATGTTCACAAAAGCCAACAATTAATGGCCGACGTCACAAATTCACAGAAAGGCATTTTAGGTGCAGACAAAGTGCTAAATTGGCTGGTCACGAGCAGCAGCTAATGACACCGCATTGATTCATGCACGTACCACGTGTACCACCGTAGAGAAAAAACGTACGCTGTGCCAGCTACCGTATACGTACAAAGACAAGATAGCGTTGAAAGAAGGGGAAAAAATTACGGGTATACGCACCTACGGTGGCCGTGTTGAACGTGGAGACGCCCGGCGTGTCGGCGTTGAGGTCGCCGGTGATGACCGTCTTCCCCATGCCGTCCCCGACGACCACCACGTTCGTCTTCTCCAACGGCACGTTCACCGTCTCCTTGTACACCCCCTCCTTCACGTGCACCACGAACATCTCGTCGCCGTAGTCCGGCGCCGCCGCCACCGCCTCCCCCACCGTCTTGTAGTGGCACCCCGCGCCGCACACCGTCACGTTGGGGGGGAGCCCCTTGGGCACGCCGAGCGCGTCCTCGTCGGCGGCGGACCCCGCCGCCGCGGGCGGCCAGTAGCCGTCGCGCTCGGTCTGCGGCGGGGCCCACCGGAAGGTGTCGTCGCCGTAGCGCTGCAGCGCGGCGAGCATGGAGATGTAGTTGCTGTTGACGGCGATGGTGTCGTCGAGGTAGGCCATGGCGTCGGAGATGGTGCGGGAGAAGTTGACGTACTTGTAGGCGGACCAGCAGTCGTAGAGGTGGAGGAGCGCGGTGGAGGCGGAGAGGAGCGACGGCGACGACGTCGAGGGCGGCGGCGAGAGGCGGTGGGTGGAGAAGGAGAGGAACGTGAGGCAGTTGGTGGCGGCGTTGGTGAGGTTGACGTTGGAGGAGGCGGCGAGGACGGACCGCGCCGTGGAGACGGCCGGCGGGATGCGGGCCCTGAGCGCGGAGAGCGTGGCGGCGAGGAGGTCCGGAGTGGACGCGTCGGCGGAGGCGTTGGAGAGCGTGGAGACGCAGGCGGGCTGGAACCGCGTGGCGTTGCAAGCGAGGAGGACGGCGAGCGGCGCCGCGTAGGAGGCCGGCGCCGGCTTGGACGGCGACGGGGCGTGGTGGTGGTGGCGCGAGGAGAGGGAGGAGGGGAGGTGGAGCAGGAGGAGGAAGAGGAGGAGGCGAAGCGGCGGCGGCGACATTGGAGACAATGTCTGGATGGAGTCGAGTGGGAAATGGAGTGGAGTGTGTAGTGGTGGTTAGACTGGTTGGTTATATCGGCGACGGTATTAGGCGGGGGCAGCTGAGGCTTGGTTGGGCAAATGGGCAAGGGAGGAAAGAAATGAAGAGGATGGATTTTGATGGGTGCAGCAGTAATGGAAAGTACTCCCCATTGCAGATAAGGCATTGATGTGTGTAAATTTGCTGGTAACAGTTGAAATTCTGCTGTTGGTTTTGCTAACCATTTATGTTGTTGGATTGTGTGTTCCATTTCTAAGCATTGCACCCCCAAGATGGAACGGAATCAGATCTCACCTGCGGAAGTTCCGCTAGTGCAAGACCGGTGATACAATGTCTCTCCGCAAACCACAGTCTTCGTTTTTACTGGCAGAAAGTAATATAATGCAGATAATTTCATTCCACTGCATTCCCTTCCCCACGAAACACTGTCATGATCATCGCACGATTTGGAGTTTGATAGCATTCCTCACCTCTACATGCTCTGCCCTGGTTTGCCTCGTGAAGCCGACATGATAGACATCTTTTGAAGCTACGCTAAGGATACTTGAAATTGCCCAACCGTGCACGGCAGACACTTCCCTCTTGGGTTGCATCCCCGTCCGGGTGAATCTAAAGAGTTCGTTTAGCCATGCCATCTGCCGGTCCCAGCGAACACGAAGCCATCAGTCCATCACGATGCCGGGCAAACATGCACAGTTTTTGTACATCAGCATACGTTAATCATGGAAAACTAAACAACCTGTTGTCAGTTTGTCACATATTCACAATGTAGCCATGTGACATTGTCGTTCTGTGATTTTGTCACCACAGCTCGCTCCCCACAGGATGATGTCGCGGCCGTCGAATAGAGATGGGTGGTTTTTTCACATCCTCTTCCACGTAGCCTACTGGTTCCCTGGACATGATCACGGGAATCACAGTGCACACAGGTGACAGGTCGGCATCTGGCGGATCAGTGTCCACTTAGACTGTAGAGTGTACAGTACTCGCCAGTTAGGCACAGCCGCATAGATGCAAATCCGGAAATGCTGCGATATCCTTCACAATAGATTTAGCATGAATTCAATACCACTGCAGCACAAAAATAAATAGAGCAAACAGATTATCTTATGGAAAACTGTTGATTGCATTCTATGTACGACTAGCACAAAAGAAAAAAATAGACCAAACAGATTTCATGCATGAGAAATGACTTTCCAAAACTTGCAAATGAATTGGTGTTTACATACAGGTTGCCGATTGTGATGTTCTGTCTAAAACGCAAAATAGACAATGATACAAAATCTGTAACCCCGGAGGCGTGTATAAGGAGCACTTGAGGAAAAGGAAAAACCAAGATGAAGACATGCTGCTGTAGTGCTGTCTAAGAAAAAAAAATCATGGTCCGCTACTTGATAGCAGACGAAGCAGAAGCAGCAGAAAAACAAAAAAGAAAAAGAAAAAGAAAAACAAAGTATAATGTCAGCAGTCAGTCAGCCAGCCAAATTTCGCCAACCTGCAAAATTGCACGTGAGGAAAGATCAGATCAATATATCACCATTTATCTCCATCAATTCAAAGACAGCAGCGCATGCAGTGGAAATCATCGTCAACAGATTGAATTCTGCATATACTAGCTAAATGCCCATGCGTTGCAACGAAATTAAAAATAAATTATGTCATTACTTTTCCCAATGTTAATTGAAAAAAAAATCATATTTTCTTTGAAATTCGATGTGAATGGATTATGCTGGTTCATATGGCTCACCTTTTGATGTAGAGTGGTAGATGATGGATTCACTGATTTGAATTTCAAGCACAACCGTGGTTACACTGACAGCATGAACCCACATAAGTGCATAGGTATGGTGGCAGATTCACCACCACCACCATTGAGGTCTTTTAAAGGAGTATAGATACTATTTTTTCTATCACATTCAAAGTATATTCGGGATAAGATTACCATAAATTATTTGACAAGTGGAGTATAGGTAAGTTGGAAGTATTCCTGTGTTCAGGTAAGTTCTCTCCCACCCAATTTCAACATTGAGCAATCATCATGTTTAGTCCTTGGTTTTACACAAAGCTAGTACAAAGTTCAGTTTTTTAATTATGAACCGAACAATCTTACCAGGTTTTGATGTCAAAGAAAAAATAACAAGGGGGGACAATAGGTACCAAGTAATACATGGCATATTTTGCACTATATATAAAAAAACTGGAGGGTTCCAGGTTAGCTTGCAACAAAAAATAACTTAAGAGAAGAAAATTTTTGTGGGATTATTACTACACAATACTTTACAGGAATAGTGTTATAAATAATAGAGTAAAGTGCATTGGCGATCCTTAAACTTGTAGGGTTGTGTCATATAGGTCCGTAAACTATCAAAACGCATATCCAGGTCCTAGAACTTGTCAAAGTGTATCATTTAAGTCCCAAATCGACACATCCCCTCTAGGATCCTACGTGGCGCTGATGTGGCATGCCACATAGACGTGACGTGTCATTTTCTTTTTTTCTTCTTTTATTTTTCTTTTTCATTTTCTTCTCATTCTTCTTTTTTTTTTCTGCTCGGGTCACATAGAAAGGAGACGAAACGGGAAAAAAAGAGAAGAAAAAAGGAAAAGGAAAAAAATTAAATGGGTTCCATTTGTCAGTCAAAATGATGCCACATCATGTCCATGTGGCATGCCACATCAACGCCACGTAGGATGCTGAAGGGGTTATGGCGATTTGGGACCTAGATGACACACTATGACAAGTTCTAGGACTTGAATATGCATTTTGAGAGTTTAGAGACCTAGATGACACACCCCTATAAGTTTAAGGGCCATCAGTACACTTTACTCTAAATAATATGTTAAAAGAATGATAATGTAAAGGATCTCACCATTTGTCAAAAGGTGGGAAATTACTAGTTCATTCCAAGCATCTGGGACTCCAGGAAGGCACCAATGACTGCAATCAAGTATGGTTGAAGGATGACTCCATATACCGATATGAGCATCACTTCTGAAGGCCCCCATCAAAGTCACATTCAAGATAGTTGCAGGAACGCTCATGTTCACCACAACCCCAGCGAGTATATCTCCAAATTCACTTCTGTCATCTCCTTTGGCCTCAGCTGTAGGAAATTCTGTTACTTCACATACCTTTTGATTTGAACCACTGTAAGTATGCAAAAAGGGAAAAAAATACAAATGAGTGTATGTCTTTCGCAAATCATTTACACTTTCTTCAAACCACAACAGTAGCAGTCTTGTTTTCATTAGGTGCCTTTATAACACAATACAAGAAGAACAATACACTGGAAAAGATCCGATGTATGTGAGAAAACACACCTCCAATGAGATGGCTCATACGTGCGGAAAAAGACATGTGTTCGTTTTAAATCCACCTTTTCCTTCACCCATGAAGCCCATGTTTCAAGTGCCATTTTGAAAGCAGAATTAATGGATGTACCTAGTTTAAGCAAACCTCCAGCCTCAAAATAGCAGCCCCTGTTAAAAACACAAAACAATAATTACCCATTAGTGAAACAGGGAAATGACAATTTAGTAGATTGTTCGTAAATTGTAACAATTTGCAATAATAGGAATCCACATTAGTAGAAACACTTCTGAGGAATATGCACAAACATAACTTAATAGCATAATTGAAACACAATGCAATTATCGACAGTGTATATTTCCTAACTACGACTATTCTGGTGAAGGACGGAATGCACCAACATCAGCCATCAGGCAATTTTGACAGGAGAAACAAAAACACTGGTACTTGTGTTGCTTTGACCTCAAGTAACTTCACTAAGATTGCAAGGCAACCCATCACTTGTTTTTGTCAATTTGTTACTATCAATACTTTTGATCAGTCCACTTCATGATTCCTGAACAGGATAAATTGTGTTGAGCTCTTAAAAAAAATACTGTCTAGCACCCCTTTGATCTAGGGGTTGCTTAGAAGTCACATACTAAATAACAGATATCTTTCAAAGCGACACTGTGCTACCTATATGCCAAACCATTGGCATGCACAGAACATCTATCCAAGGATTTTTCGCAAAAACAAATGTATTGGAGCAAACATATATTAGGTTCATGATTTTTAAGTTAACTGCAGTAGATATGACAACAATTCTAAGAACAAATTGGTGTTGCTAAGTACAAGTACAATAAGAAAACTCACATATCAAATAATTTGCTGGGAGTCCACCAATGCCCTGAGTTGAAAATAAGCACATCAGCATTCTCCCATTTCCGGCTGATATTATCCATCTTATCAAGCTTGAGAATTGCTCGGACCCTTTTTGGGCTACTGCGAGGTGCAGGGCTCTGTTGTACAAGAAACACCGACCGGAAGAACTCTACATTCAGGTTGAATGACGCAAATCTCACTCCTAAAAACCGGATAGTCTTTGAGATCTGATTGCCATTAACCTCATAAACAGTCTTGGGATTCTCCACCCCTGCCATGAGCATGCAGATGAAAGATTCCCACTGTGTCCGGCTCATGGAGTCCCCCACAAACACAACCCTCTTCCCCCTCAGCCGTTCCAACACATCCCTGGCACTGAACCGCGGCAAGTCGCATCCCCTTGGCTTCCACCGCCATTTCAGGTAGCCGGTGTCCTTCCTCCCATTTGCCAGGCAATTGAATCCCCTCTCCACAAACGGGCAATCGGAGCTATTGTACAAAGGGTACCTCCTGTCCGGCACCCAGCTTCCGTCGAACACGTCGCAGGACTCTAGGTTGTCGCCGGCGAACTCGGCGACCGCATGGCCGCGGCCCTGGTACCGGAAGAGATACAGATACAGCGCGCAGGCGAGCACGAGCGCGACGGAGGAAAGGAAGAAGGCCAAGGCAGCGCACTCGAACGACGGCCCCGAGGGCGCCCACCACCACCACTTGCGGTGCGCGGCCGCCGCCGCCGACACCCGCGGGCTCCCGACGCCGCCCCTCGCTGTGAGCCGCGCCGACGTGCTCCTGCTAAAGCTCCCGGTCACCATCTCGCCGCCGCATCCGCCGCCGCCTGATCTCCCATCACACAAACCCCCAGCAGCCAAATCTGCTCGAACAAATCCACCGGCGCGGCTTCCTATCCCAATACGCCGCGTTCGAATCCCTCCGCCAAATCGGGCCGGATCGAACCTTGGGGGGGCCACCTAACCCCAGTCCCGCGCACAGCTCTCCAGATCACGGAGCACCAAAATCTCTTGCTGCCCACCACGGAAGAGGAAGGAAGGATTTCCACGACGACCGGGATCAGGGCCGGCTACTCACCAGATTCCAACCACCCTTCTTCTCCGGCGATCGCCGGAGCGGCCGCACCCAGCCCCCTGAGCAGGCTCCGGAACTGCTCGATATCTTAGTGGGCGCGTCGCCCGGCGACCTACGGCTACGTCAGCGCTGGCGCGGCGCGAGGAGGAGGAGGAGGGCCAAGTCCGAGGAGTAGAGGAGGAAGACGACGGCTCCGCGCAGAGGAGGAGGGCGGTGGCTGAGGAACGCGTGCGATTTAAATACCAGAGCTTCCAGATACCAGGAGGAAGGAGGTTTCTAGGCTCACTGACCTGTGGGGCCAGTATATGACCTGGCCCACCTGGCATTGAGTTGCAGCCGCTCTGCGCTACGTGACGTGACGCTTTGCTTTTTGACTTTGGCGGTGTCGAGAGGAGGGTGGTGGTTCTCTGGTCGTGCGCGGTGGTGAGGTGAGGTGAAACGAGTGGTCTAAGAAAAAATTTAAAATTTGTTATATCGTGGGACCGAGGGAGTATCACCCTACCGGTAACATCAACGGCCATACGGAGGGTCAAGTGTTCATCGGTACGACCGTACTCGCCCATGATCTGTCCACATCACGAAGGTTAGGGGAGGTCTGCAACTTTTCTGCCATTCTCAGCTCAGAGTTAAATGTGAGGAGAACCGGAGATGGGCTGATGGATTGGGAGGCCTTCTAAACGAACACAACGCCGGATCTAGGCCAGCTTTCATGTGCGGCGCGTTAGTGTTCCATGGCCTGATCTAAGAGGCCGAAACCTTCGGGCAATCCTTTATAGGCCCAACTACAACAGCCCACACGTCCGTGGGGATCCCGTTAGGCCGTTTCCGACCCAACAGCTACGGACCGCACGTTCTCAAAGTCCGGCCTGGGCACATCTGTTGCACGTAGGAAAGGAATAAGTTTACTTTGTGACCCTCAAAAGTGATCGAAATCTAATCCGTAACCCTAAACCACAAAACCGGATACCTCGACCCCTCAACTCTTAAAACAAGTGCAATTCGGTGGTTTTGGAGGACGGTTTCGCTGACGTGGTGCCTACGTGGCATTCTAGTCATCAAATAAATTAAAAAAATAAAGTGGGGCCCACCTGTCAGTGAGTCCTCTCCTACGTTCTCTCTTTCTTCATTGCCAGCAGCGGCGGGAGGACGGGGTGAGCGGCGGCGGCTGGCGGCATCGGGGCGCAGCGCAGTCGGCGGCTAGGACGGCGGCGGCTCGGCCGCGGAGGCTCGCGATAGTGGGAGGACGAGGGGAACGGCGGCGGCGGCGGCCCAATATGCTGCTCGTCATCCTCGCCCTTGCGGTTACCGGCGCGGTCTCCGACGGCTCGCGAGTCGCTGGACCACATCTCCATCAACTGCATCGGCGTCGGGGGACATGTCCGGCTGCCGCTCCGTCCACTCGCGCCCGTTCAGCACCGATGAGGAGGGCGAGGCTCCTCGTCCCCGCTCAGCCGCGGCTCTTCTTGGATAGTCCCGACTGGAGGCAGTCGGCGGCGGGGAGGGAGTGGGAACGGGAGCGGGACGATGGCGACGAGAGAAGAGGAAGCTGGCTCGCGTCGGGATCTTGGTGGTTCGTCGGCGATGATGCCGTGTGCGCTGATGTGCAATCTTGAGCTTTTTAATTTCTGTTTTGCATGCATATAGTGGCTGGGGCTGAAGTCTGGCTTGTTCTTTCCAGTTATGCATGTAACGAACTGCTGATGGAGATGAATAAATAGAGAAGAAAACAGAGAAGCTGCGGTGACTGGTGAGACTTAAGCAGCACAAAAACCACTCTGTTCAGAACTCTGTTCTTCGGTTTTTCAGTTTACTGTTCACAGTCTTACAATCTTCAGAGTTTCAGAGATTCAGTGAGGTTGAGCGTGTGAGTTGTGAGCGAATTGCAAGTTTCCTGACGACGGTGGTGGTCTCCCCCTCTCCCCCGCCGTAGGCGACGACGCGATGGTGGAGAGCGCATCCAGCGCGCCGTTCCCGAGCGACAGGAGCGTCACGCCGGCGATCGTCGGGAGAGGCGGAGCAGCCACGAGAGGCCCTTGAGGCTGGAGCAGAAGTACACCGCCGCCGTGTCACCGAGCAGGTAGAACAGCACGGCGAGCCAAGCCGCCATCACGCCGTAGCCAAGAACCCGCCGCTCCACACCGAACACGCAGTCGAACAGGTACAGGTAGTCGACGTAGCCACGCGGGAATCGCCGGCGATCATGGCCATCCTCCTCGGCGACGTGCTCGCACCTCTCCCCATAGCTCTCAACCTGGAATACGCCGCCGCCATCGCGACGCCCCCGGATCCCGCCCTCCTTGGACGACGATACCACCTCCGGCGGTGTGCCGCCGCGCGGCAAGATGATGAAGAAGAAGGCGAGCAGGAGCAAGAAGGCCACGGTGACGCTGGCACCGATCAGCACCCTTGTCGCCGGCTAGTGCGGAGAACAGACGACGACCCCATCTCGCCGAGAGCTGGCCTCGCCATCGTCGACTCCTCCACTGCGGGGACCGCTTCAGCTCCCGCCGGGTGGCGCCACACCGCAGCCCATGCCCTGCCGCCGGCCGAAGGGGAAGAAGGGGAGAGAAAAAGAGAGAGAAGGGAGAGAGGGAGGAGGAAGGAGGACTGACATGTGGGTCCCACAGTTAGTGGGCCCCACATTTTTTCTGTGTGTGAATGACAAACGGGTCCCACGTAAATTTTTTAACTTTAATGCCACGTAAGTGCCACGTCAAACGCCACGTGGATCAAAGGCTTGGTCAATATTGCCACGTAGGTGCCACGTGGCGCCACGTCAGCAAAACCGCTCTCCAAAACCACCAAGGGAGTCAAATTGCACCGGTTTTAAGAGTTTGGGGGGTCGAGATATCCGGTTTTGTGGTTTAGGGTTACGGATTAGATTTCGATCACTCTTTAAGGGTCATGAAGTGAACTTATTCCTGTAGGAAACTATGTTGGAAAAAGTACACCGAAGGTCCCTCAACTTGTCAACGAGTTACAAAATCGTCCCCTAACCGCAAAACCAGATATCCAACGTCCCTTAACTAACCAAAACCGGTCACAAATGGTCCTTCCGTGGTTTTCACCCCGGTTTTGTCCTATGTGGCGGCTGAGTCAGCGTGGGACCCATGTGGACTCCATATATCAGGCTGCCACATCAACGTTGAACACCATGATTAGCACGGCCATCACCAGGTGTGGCCGGTACTTGCAACGAAGAAGCCGCCACAACGCGCCCGACTCGTACCTCCGGTCCTCCTCGGCAACGCGGACGATATCCTTGAGCTCGGCGTCGACGTCGGCGGTGGCCGCCCCGGCCCTGCGGATGCGCCACAGCAAGTCGCGGGCCTCGTTGAGCCTCCCACGCAGCGTGAAGCTGTTAGGCGTGTCCGGGATGGACGCGGCGCCCACGATGACGATGACGGCCGAGACGATGTCGGCGCCGAGTGAGAGTGGAAGTGGCGGCGAGACAACCACCACCTTATTGGGCTTCGGCGTGGGAGGAGACGGAAGTCAGCGGCGGCGGTGCAGCGCTTAGTGGGGGAGCTAAGGACAGCGAGACGGGCAAAGAGCTTGAGGAGGCGGCGGTGGCAGCCATGGGGGTCAGAGAAGGGAGAGAGAGAGAGATAAGGAAGGGAGAGAAGAGGGGAAGGAAAAGAGAGAGAGGAGGCTGATGTGGCAGTCTGACATATGGGGCCCACTCAGCCGCTACGTAGGACAAAACCGGGGTCAAAACCACCAGAGAACCATTTGTGACTGGTTTTGGTTAGTTAAGGGACGTTGGATATCTGGTTTTGCGGTTGGGGGATGATTTTATAACTCGATGACAAGTTGAGGGACCTTCGGTGTACTTTTTCCAACTCTGTTCGCACCGGGAAAAAGGTCTATTCTACCTCATAGTCTGATTTCTCTATCTCAATCGTTAAACCAAACATTAAGCCTATCTCAACTATCAATTCATTTTACCAATATGACACCTACATGAATTTTTTTAAAAAAATACTGTAGAAATCACGTGTAATTTTTCCACCCTCACCTTATAAATTACAATTAACGAAGAAAAAAAAATCAGGACCCACGTGTAGGTGGCCCATTCGATTGAGAAGTAGGAGCCCGAGCTTGTCCACCCCGCCACTGGTGCGGATTTGAAGCATGAGGAGAGACCAGCTAGAGGCAAGGCGTATAATAACGTGCTATCATCAACAGTAGTGGCAGAGAGTATCAACGATGGTGGTGGTGGTGAGAGGATTGAAGGAGCACTCCGGCACTAGTGCTTGGAGGTGGTGGCCTCGTCGTTGGATCGGTGCAACCATGATCCAAGGTAATAAGTATCTAGATACTACCGTAGGATCGTAAGACTATCAGATTTTAGAAATTACATAATTTTATATAAGATATATAATATGTTGTATAAATTAAAATATATAATATTGATTTTGATAAATTTAATTGGTTTTTATGTAAACTTGAGCATATTTATTCACATTATTTTCAATCCACCTTATTAAATAATATTTGGTAGGATCGTAGAGATCGTAATATCGGGATACTATCCAAGATTTCGTAGGATCGTGTGGAAATAAATAGTAAGATCGAGTAACTATGAAAATTACGATATTAGATGAGATCGATATCGTTTTGAATTCGTAGCATACTATCCTAGTATCGTAAAATATTATACAGTTTGGGGTACTGACAACCTTGAATTGCATGTGCCCCAGCGGATCCAACCGCTGACACACTCAATGGCAAAAGGAGGGATTAGGCTATCAGTGCACTTGACGAAGATGAAGGATGGCCGATGTGTGAGAAGATAGGGGAGTGGGGAGTGGGGAGGAGAGAGAGGATGACATATGGACTAATTGCTTTATTATTATTATTATTATTATTATTATTATTATTATTATTATTATTATTATTATTATTATTATTATTATTATTATTATTATTATTATTATTATTATTAACTACGTCAATATCGACGCTTATGTGTATACTGACTCATCACGTGTGGACCAGGTGAATACGCCACGTCGGTTGAAACCGCTGAGCAAACCATCAAAGGAGTTCACTCCTCATTTTATTTGTTAAGCCAGGGTAGACAGAAAAAAACCGAACCAAAAAGACCGGAACTAGGACTGAAAAAGCTGAGAAATTTGATCAGTATCAGGTGTTAAAGGACCGAATTTCATTCGGTCAATTCAGTTAGTACCTTCGATTAACTAAATAAACTGCACAAATCAAATTTTGGCTCAATAAGACTATTAAGGTCCAGCAACCCAATTAAATCGAATTTTGGCCTCTAGCATGCTTCGATATATGGCCCGTGATAGCGAAGAGAGTCAATTTGTGTTTTGTGGGTGTGTGTTTATGTGTATGGTTTTTTTAATCTGGAACTTAGACTTGCCCTGATTATTTTAGAACTTTTGATATTTCAGTCATGATCGAGATCGAGACTGATTTTCTTGATCTTCATTATTTTCCTAAATTAATTGGTTTCTATTTTTAGATAACCGAAACTTGTAGAAGATCAAAGATCGAGACCGGATTTTTTGGTTTGACCAAACGTCCAACCCTAGTTCAAGGAGTCTTAATGTTACGGTGAGAAAATGAATCGGACTTAAACTATAGTTGAGGAAAGGCAATATAAACTTTTTCCTTACAACATGGTGGAAGTGCAAAACTTCCGGTGATGTGCTTGTGAGTTGTGATGCGATCACTCCTTTCTTATCTCTACTTACCCAACTCACCTCTTTCGTTTTCCACGCGTACGTTTTTCATACTGCTAAACGGTGTATTTTTTATGAAAAATTTTTTATATAAAAGTTATTTTTTAAAAAAATCATATTAATATATTTATATTTATTTTAGCTAATACTTAATTAATCATACGTTTTATTTTACGTGCTAGGGAGTGACGGTTCCCAACCCTCGTTCCGAACATAGTATCTTCGTCGCTTCGGTGAAGCGAACCAGGGAGTCACCGAGTCGGCGTGATAACGAAGAAGAACGGCTTCCAGAACGTCTCGTCAACCCAATGACAAAGAATGGAATTAAATTTAAAAATATACTGTTGATTTGTTTTTCCTTAGAAATATTCGTGGCGTAAAATTTAGAAATATTCGTGGCATAAAATTTTTAGCAGAAATATACCATCAATCTCGCACAACCGTTGTGCAAAGAAGCGTGACGACGCACACCGCGCAGTATCGCGAGACCGAACGTCTTGTCCAGCGGTTCTACTTAATTAGTGATCAATTATCCTAATTATCGAATAATAACTAGTGATTAATTATCCTAATTAGTGATTAATTAACAATTAATCAATCACTAATTAACAATTTTCAACCGTCGTAATCGCTCACTGATTGAGAGAGACTGCTCGGTCTCGCGGTTTGGCCGCGCGAGACCGTGTGGTCTGACGCCGTCTGCACGCACGTCCTCGATTTCGTCGTTTGGTGTCACGGTTTCATTGTACGGGGCCGACACCTGTTATAGATGCTATTTGCGTCGTCACGTCCACGTCACTTATGCGAAACGGTTGCGCGAGATCGACAGTATATTTCTGCTAACAAATTTACATCCCGAGTATTTATGAAAAAAAAACGAATCAATAGTATATTTTTAAATTTAATTCCAAGGAATGGCGAGTTCGTGCTGAGCACGGACGCTAACTTGCACGGGACGTGGAGGCGGATCTCCGGTTAAATGCTTGGCCATACGAAACCGCTTGGTGAGCGAGTGGGTTTACATACGGTTTTGGTTTGAATCTGTCGCAGGTCGCGGCGCCAGACGGCCAGGGGCAGGCCAGCCTGGTCTCGATTGTTTCCTCGCGAGCAGCGCGCGGTGGCGGCGCCTGGTGGGCTCGGGGAATCCCTCTGCAGCCAGCGCGTCCGCGAAATGCATGCCACTTGTATATGGACCAGCGCTGCACATGCACAAGCCGCACGTGCCGTTCCGCTTGGTAGTGAAATCCAGGGGCGGACCACGGTGTTTACCATAACCAGCCTGCTTATCTCACACAACAGAACAAAAACGAACCACCCATTTCAACAAAGTTGGTCACCTTGTTCTCCACAGTTGACAGTAAAAATTCTCGCCGTAGCTCGTTTTTCCCAACATGGCCACGTCACTGCCGGCCAGATTACTTGTCCCATGCAGCTGGACAAAGTACCGTTTGACCCCGGTCCCTTTTGTGATGGCGACATCGTATCGAGAGGGACAGCCAGATCTCCGGTATGGAAAATTGGAAACTGGAAAGCAACGGACGTGTTCACTACGATCTGTGGACCCGATACACTGGCCAAAAATGGAGACAAGCCATGAGCCTCAGACACCGTGGAGGCTAGCCGTGCACCCAGCTGTGAGCGTGGCTAAAACGGCCGCGAGCACCCACAGGATTCGCTCTCCCACACCATCGGCTCGTTCGCACAAAACCACTGCACCACCCACCGGTTTCGGTTTCGCCCACCATTGGAGGCGAATCCCCTCCCTTCATATACCACGCCGCGGCAGCTCGGCGATCCCAGAAAGGCAGAAGAAATCAAGAAACCAACCACCAACTAGCTACTGTAGTTGACTGACAGTGATAGTGGCAGTCATGCAGGTCGTGGGAACCGTGCGTGTCAGTGGCTGCGGCGCGGTGGTGGCGCCCTCGCGCCGGCAGTGCCGCGTGTCCGCGGCGGTGCTGACGGCCGCGGAGACGGCGACGGCGACGCGGCGCCGCGTGACGCACTCGATGCCGCCGGAGAAGGCGGAGGTGTTCCGGTCGCTGGAAGGGTGGGCGAGGTCGTCGCTGCTGCCGCTGCTCAAGCCCGTGGAGGAGTGCTGGCAGCCGACGGACTTCCTGCCGGACTCGTCGTCGGAGATGTTCGAGCACCAGGTCCACGAGCTCCGCGCGCGCGCCGCGGGGCTCCCCGACGAGTACTTCGTCGTGCTGGTCGGGGACATGATTACCGAGGAGGCGCTGCCGACGTACCAGACCATGATCAACACGCTCGACGGCGTCCGCGACGAGACCGGCGCCAGCGCCTGCCCCTGGGCCGTCTGGACGCGCACCTGGACCGCCGAGGAGAACCGCCACGGCGACATCCTCGGCAAGTACATGTACCTCTCCGGCCGCGTCGACATGCGCATGGTCGAGAAGACCGTCCAGTACCTCATCGGCTCCGGCATGGTACGAATCTCTCGAAATGTTGATGCCATTTCTCTGCTTGGTTTCAATCTTTTTTTTGCTTAGCATTGTTGCTGAATCCATGGCAGGATCCGGGGACGGAGAACAACCCGTACCTGGGGTTCGTGTACACCAGCTTCCAGGAGCGCGCGACGGCCGTGTCGCACGGGAACACGGCGCGCCTCGCCAGGGCGCACGGGGACGACGTCCTGGCGCGCACCTGCGGCACCATCGCCGCCGACGAGAAGCGGCACGAGACGGCGTACGGGCGCATCGTGGAGCAGCTGCTGCGGCTCGACCCGGACGGCGCCATGCTCGCCATCGCCGACATGATGCACAAGCGGATCACCATGCCCGCGCACCTCATGCACGACGGCCGCGACATGAACCTGTTCGACCACTTCGCCGCCGTGGCGCAGCGCCTCAACGTCTACACCGCGCGCGACTACGCCGACATCGTCGAGTTCCTCGTCAAGCGGTGGAAGCTGGAGACCCTGGAGACTGGGCTCTCCGGCGAGGGCCGGAGGGCCCGGGACTTCGTGTGCGGGCTCGCGAAGAGGATGCGGCGGGCCGCGGAGCGGGCTGAGGACAGGGCTAAGAAGGATGAGCAGAGGAAGGTCAAGTTCAGCTGGATCTATGATAGGGAAGTGATTGTCTAGTTTAACTTGTCTTGGTTGAATTCTGAATTCCCAGTCCTAGATGATCATGCCATTTCGTTATCATCTCTGTTCTTGTGTTCTCTTTGCAATGCAGTAAATTGGTAATAGTTAATGGTGCTTTGATCTTGGAAATTTGGCGTTGATGTATTTTCTGGTATCATTAGTGAAGATAGTTTGGTTTCTTTTCACATTTGATGATTTGAACCCTCAAATATTAATGTTGAAATACAGAATTTCACATTTCACATTTCAGTTGTGCCTGCACACTGACATTATTCGCATATAAAATTGACATGACCGTTTTTTTATTGAGGGAATTGCACAGTTGCCAGCATCGTGTCCAGTTGATAAACGGATGCAGCAGATTATAAATTTCCCTTGTACAGTCATCTATGTACAAGAAGCATACTAGTTGATAGAAAATCCCTTTTCTTTTCAAGCCAATTGTGAAACCGCTTCGCCAGAACATTTGAGACAAGCAAAATTGCAGTTAATGTAGTTGGGATAACGTACCACTGCCTGCGTGTACTTGGTGTTCAGAAATGTCAAGCTCAACCGAACTGCACCCTGAAGTCGTTTTGGTGCCTTTGATCTTGGAAATTTGGCAGAAATGTATTTTCTGATATCGTTAGTGAAGATTTTTCTTTTAACATTTCAACCACAAAAATTGATGTTCAAATACATAATTCAATTGTGCCTGTTGACTGATATTAGCATATAAAATTGACACGAAGTGTGTAGTTATTTCTATGCCAGCACCAGTTGATAAAGGGATGCAACAGAACAGATAATTCCCTTGTCTAATAATCTAATGTCCTTGTCTAATCATCTATGTATAAGAAGTACAGTTAATAGAATATCCAGCACATGAGGGGCTTTTCTTTTCTGGGCAACTTGTGAAAACACTTTCGGAAGAACATTTGGGACATGCAAAAAATGCAGTCAGTGTAGCTGGGATAACGTACCACTGCCTGCACATACTTGGTGTTCAGTAATCTCGAGCTCCACTGAACTGCACCCTGGGGTCTTCCCAACTCCATGGAGCGCCATCTTTCTCCTCATGCGTTCAGCCTGCTCCCACCTCTCCGACGAGGCCATGATATTTGACAGCAAGATGTACTCTGCATCGTTGGTTGACACACGACGGGAGTGCAATTGGTGGATCTCACTTGATACGAGTTCAGACATCTCTGCATCGCCATGCACCCTGCAAGCTCCGAGCAGGGAGCCCCAGATCACCTCATTGGGTTCAACAAGCATGTTCTTGACAATCTCATAAGCTTCCCTCAATCTTCCAGAACGGCCCAAGAGATCAACCAGGCAGCCGTAATGCTCTACTGCAGCAGCAACCCCGTAAATATCGAATTTGCTGAAGATTCTTAGTCCTTCATCTACAAATCCTCCGTGTGTGCAAGCTCCGAGTACGGCAAGAAGTGTGATCTCATTAGGCTTCTGCTCCGAACACTCCATCTTGGAGAACAACCGAATAGCCTCAATGCTCTGTCCATGGCTGGAAAGTGCAGAGATCATCGAGTTCCAGCATTCGGTGTTCCTCCATTGCATGTTGTCGAAGATATTTCGTGCGAAAGCGAGGTCACCGCACTTGGCGAACATGTCAACCAGGCCATTCATAACGAACTGGTTCTTCCGGATACGGTGCTGGATGATGAAATTGTGAACCTTTCTCGCTTGCTCTAGCGAACCGAGCTGTGCGCAGGCAGAGAGAACACCTGCCATGGTGAACTCGTCCGGCTTGATCTTGTCCTTTAGCATGGAGTGAAATGCTTCCAGTGCCTTCTCGCAGCATCCCATTTTGGCATACCCTGCTATTAGTGCGTTCCAGTTCACCAAGTTGCGCACGGGGATTTTGTCGAACACCGCTTGCGCTTCGTCGGCATTGCCAGCCTTGAAGTTCCCGGTGACCATCGACGACCACACAAACGCGTTCCGCGCAGGCATCTTGTTGAACAGCTCCCTCGCGGTCTCCATGTCCCCCGCGGCAACGTAGGCCTGCACGGCCACGGTCCACGTGACGACGTTCTGCATGCCCAGCGGCATGGCCTCAAACCACCGCCGCGTTTCCGCCATGTCGCCCTTCCCCGCGAACCCCCGGATCAGCGTTGCCCACGTGACGGGAGTCCGTGAGCCCATGCCGGCGAACAGCGCCTCCGCGCTCACCATGTCTCCCGCCGCCGCGTACCCGGCGAGCATGGCGTTGCACGTCACGGCGTTCCGGTCCAGCATTCCGTCGAACACCCTGCGCGCGTCGGCCAGGAGGCCGCACTTGCAGTACACGGACACCAGCGTCGTCCCCACGAGGCGGTCGTGGGCGTTGGCGGATTTCACGGCCTCCGCGTGGAGGGCCCTGCCGAGGACGGGATCCGCGCGGGAGGCGGTTGCCTTGAGGAGGACGATGACAAGGGGCAGGTGGTGAGTACGATGGGGCAGTAGTTTCGAGTAGATGATAGCGGCCTCCCGGAGGAAGGAGTTGGAGGCGTAGACCTTGGCGAGGTTGGCCCACATGTCTGGGTCACGGCATCCTCTCGTCAGGTAGAGAGCGTGGAGTTGCCTCGCTCGGCTAGCCGCCATGGCGAGCGCTCGTCCGCCCTAGCAGCGGCGGCGGCGGCGGCGGCTCGCGGGCTTATATAACGTCGGGGTGTCAAACAAAAATATTTCTGCTATTCTGGCAGTGAAACTTACGGTTTCGTAGGAAACAATATTACTCTGTTGCAAATGGACGATATGACACCGACAGAGATACTAATCCCACAAATCACAAGCAGCAAAGTGATTCCAAGACAGATTATACGCTAGCCATTCCAAGACCAGTGCAGCAAGGACGCTGTCTAATGGATTTCCATCAAGCATCATCAGGTTTCTGCATAAGGTGGTACAGTTCAACACCCAAAATAGCTACATCGACCTCCTCACTTGTAACTTCAACCTTTAAATATATACTGCTCCTATCCAAAAGCTTCCTTCTATTTCCATCCCTTCACTAAAAAGGCAAGGGTCCCAAAAGGCAAAGACGCAAACAGAAAGTAAGAAACAGAGTTGTACACCTAATCTGCATCAATGTCCGGTACTGTAACTATTTGCAGCTGCAGAGCGCTGTCAGTTTCATCATCGGAGGACGAACTGCTGAATTCGGAAGTCGACGAACCTTCCGGGGCATACATATCATCACTGTCTTCATTCTCAACCTCGTCAGCGTAGTTCACGACTTTCCTTTGCCTCTTCCCACGGCCGAGATCAACCTTGGGAGTAGCAGGCTTGAGAACTTTCAGATCCTCAACCTTTGGGGAAGAAGGTGCTTCATCCTCGACGCCATGAGCAAAGCTCACAATGCTGCCAAGATAACCGTTATCATCCGACGAGCATTTCTCACCAGTGGAAGGGTCTAACTTGAGGAGATTCTCAATGGCTTCATTGTCATAATGGATGGATGTTGCACTGATCTTCCTGTCCACAATTGTCTTTGCTCCATGGAGTAATATAGACTGCAACTCATCAGCACTTGGCTTCTTGGAAGAGTTCATCAACATATTTTCGATGGCCAACTTCTGCTTTGACTTCTGCAGTATCTTTTCCTCGACAGAACACTTTGTAATGAGTTGGTAAACAACCACTGGTCTTGTCTGCCCGATCCGATGAGCCCGAGATTGTGCTTGCAAGTCCATAAATGGATTGAAGTCAGGATCTGGAAATAGGAAGGCCAAATCAGTGCAAGTATCCACTTGCAAATTATATAATTAGCAGTGAATGAAAACATTTAAAACCACTTACCGTATATAATTACCCTATCTGCACCAGGCTGCAAATTATAATGATGTTTGTCAGTCCAGAGGCATAATCATACTATTGCAGTTGCTGGTTAAGAGCTTGCCCTACAGGCTAACAGTTTCAACTGAAAGAACTAAGTTGATATGATAATACATTACCAGGTCAACTCCCATGCCACCAGCACGAGTTGACATCAAGAAAATAAATGTTTCACTATCAATGTTTTTGTACTCTTCTATGCTCTCCTGCCTAGCAGAGAGTGATGTCTGCCCATCGATGCTGCCAAGTGTTAACACAGCCATGAAATGGCCAAAAGAAGTGTCATTCAATTACTAGATATACAAGGAAAAGAGCAGCGAAAGTCTGAAGCATATAATTTAGAGAATTGATAGAAGGTAGACGAATGAAGCATACCGTGCATATTTGTATCCCAGGGAACAAAGAAAATCCTCAAGAATGTCAAGCATCCTGGTCATCTGCGAGAAAATCAGTACACGATTTCCCCTTTCTTTCAATCTTGGGAGCAACTGCAATTTAGCAATTGAGCAGTGTTATTTCTAGCAGTTTAAACTTCAGGTGCAGTGCTAAGATATGATAGCAATATAAGGTCCAATATGAAGTCTCGAAAGAACCTTATGAAGAAGTTGAAGTTTGCCTGATGAAGCAATAAGTGATAAAAACACATCTTCAGTTGCTTGCTGTCCAACTTCAAGTCCTGGAAATAGATACTGAAAGGCAAAATCTTAGCATCTTAGGACAGCAGAAAAATTTAACATGCACAACAAACAGCACATCTACTTAAAAAGGGCTCTTTGTTGTGAGCTTGTGGGTGATCGGAGGGAGCAAGGCCTGGTCTAGTGGTCCTTGTATAGAAGGCAGGATTGTAAGAATGGAGTTTAACAAACTGATACATTAAAGCCAATTTTAAGCTTCTCGTTTGCTACAAATTTTCTGTAACCACTGCACACAAATCACTGTCAAAATGAGAGACTCGGAAAAGCAAAAACACCCAATTCCTACATCTAAGAGAAAAGAGACCAAGTTCTGCATCTGATCAACAAAACAGAAAGTAAAACCTACTGGATGATTGCAGCATTTTCTGAGTTCCATAAGTATGTTGTTCAGAGAAAGTTTTCTGCCTGCAAAAGTACAAACAAGACTAACAGTGTTATTTCCATACGTAATTAAAGGGATTTGAAAAACCTCATATTCCCATACGTAATTCATAGGGACAAATATGCTTTTACAAAGTGAATCTGACTTAAAATTTTACCAGAGCATGAAAAAAGAGCAGAACGCTTAACTCACCATTCCGAATGGCACTGTTAAGCTTTGAGTAATTCCTCTCTAAAATATTAATGTAAAGTTCTCTCTGGGAATCTGCAAGTGCACATGGAACTTCAACCCACTTCTTTACTGGCATAGAATCTGTTAGAACATCAGATTTCATTCTCCGCAACATCCTAGCAAAAACAAGAAACTTAAGATCCGTGTTCAATTGTTTTTAATACCCTTCTTTAATAATGAAATTGGTCGACCAAACCTTCCGGCCAACCCGGCAAAAAAATATCCGTGTCCAAGATATTAAACATATATAGTACTTATTTCAGAGTATTCACCTGGGCTTTAAAATATTGTGAATCCTAGCAACTTTTTCATCCATTGTCAAATCCCTTCCAGATTCAATTGGTGAGAACAATCCATCAGCCTTTGGATCAGAGAACTCATCCGGATCAATATAATGAAGCAAAGAAAACAGTTCCATGATGTTATTTTGTAACGGTGTTCCCTGTACAGTGAAAGGAAGAGGAACCAGGATCAGAACATAGTTCTTTTAAAGAAAGGGCAATTGTAAAGCACTTCGTAAGAATTACTACGCTGACAGCCAAGGAGAAAGAATCGGCTATATATGATATCTGTAAAAAGGGCTAACCAGATCTCTCTATGTTATATAGGCTCTAGCGGCTATATAGCACTTGATTAGGCTCTAGCACAGGATTAAGTTGCTTCAGAAAGACCACAGAAGCGAACCATTTTCAGATAATGGATTTAAAATCCTAGTCCCCAAATCATACGATGCATGGAGCAGTAGGAGCGAGCCATGCCTCAGCTACAGTAATGCACACCCCTTTTAAAGTATTATGGGCACTCACTATGGTTGAATGCTGGCTATACCAGGCATCTCACTTTCAAAACCTCATGCCCAGATGACTACTAATAATCAAACTAGTGACAAGGAACAAACCAATTCTAAAATTCCAAGAAATAATTAAGGACAAGAAATTACAGGTCAAGTAGGCAGTACATACCGTAAGGAGCAACCGAAATTCAGAGCAGTATCGTTTTAGGCAAGCTGCAAGGTTGCAGTCAAGCTTCTTCATTCTGTGAGCCTCGTCAACTGAAGTGAAAGTGGGGAAATGCTCAAGTGTTACAAGAAAAGAACAGAGACAATACACTAATGCCGGCAAGTGAACACCAAATAATGGGGGACTTCATCTAAGAAAAAACTTACTGACAATTGTAGACCACTTGAATTTCTGTAGAACTGCCTTGTCAATTTGGACAAACTCATAACTCGTCACTAGAGCATCAAATAAAGGTTTCCCATCAGAAGAGTACATTTCATGGACTTGGATACACTTTCGAGAGTCTCTGTCTCCTTGATAAACAATAACATTAAGATCACTAGCCCACTGGCAAAATTCCTAGAGCACAAAACATGCATCCAAAAAATAGGATTAATGCAACATATTTGATGTAAACTGAAATGCAATATCAAAAAAAGGATTCAGGGTAAAATTTTAAATTCATTTATATAATATACAGTATAATATGGCAGAATATCACATAACTATATACAAACCTTTTCCCATTGCAGGAGGATGCTCTTTGGAGCAAGGATCAATGCTGGGGATGCAGTCAAACTTTCCTTAATAATGTGGTACAGAAAGCAAACAACTTGAACGGTTTTCCCAAGACCCATTTCATCTGCCAATAGAGCAGAACATACCCCATTATCATAGTTTTGTCATGAAATAAGAGTTGTACAAGCTATTTTTCCATCAAGACAATGCCAAACAAATAAAGAAAACATCAAAGAGACGCTACATAATTATACAGTTCACAAGCATCATGATAAATCAGATTATCTCAAAACAACAAAATAAAAACTGATCAGCATAATTCTTTACATGTGTATTATTGGTGCATTATAATTTGGTAAGGTACAACTGTACAAGTGCATCATGGATTATGTATTTAGAGTTTATGTACATACCAGCAAGAATAACGCTTCTCCTAGTTTTGAAGTTATCTATTAACCATTGTAAACCTTGAAGTTGATAGTCATATAGAGCACCACAGTGCACCTCTTCTATTTTTGATCCATCTAGACATGTTTGGCTGATGTTAACTCTTTTTGAAGCATTTTTATGCCTCCTGACAAGCATAGAAACAGCCTGTTGCACACCATCGGTACAACATGGCTCCCATGTAGCTTCACAGTAATCAAGGCCCTTCCATTTCACAAGGAACTCATACCCGTCGAAATCTTGGTTATCCTGGAAAGTAGCCAAGACATCACATAAACCTTCATGATGGAACTTCCTCCGACATGCAATGGCATGATCTACTTCAAACCACTCAAGCTTCCTTTGATCCTCTGAATAAACTTCCTTAGGCAAGCTGTTGCAATGTTCACAAACAAGAACAAAAATAAGCACTATGGTGCACTAGAGAACACAGCTGGTAAGATTATAAACAAACAAGATTGTTTTAAAAATGGCAAACATCAACATGGTGTTCAACCAGAATAGCTCAGTAATGATTAATGAAAAAAAAGGTAGAAAATTAGTAGGGGCTCATATTATTAATTTGCTAATGATATGAACAACGATTACTCAGGTACGAGATTATGTGCAACTAGTATATCCAAGAAAAAATTTAGCAACATTGACGAACACAAAAAAAATTATAAAAGATAAATACATGTAACAAGAAAATAACACAAGAAACTTTACACTGGAGGCGGTAGACAGAAAAACATGAAACTGAGAAGATTTACCAGTTCTTGTTTAGATAGCTCTGTACTCGTAAAGGATCAGATACATGAAGCCATTCAAGCGGAACCTACAGAGAGTAGATAATTAAGTGTCTAGGGAACAATATTTGCATGGTCCACATCAAGTATAGCAATTACATAATAAATATTAGGCAAAGTGTGGCAGGATACAATTCTAACATCATAAACAAACATTAGGAAGATGCCGTTTTTTTTTTTGTGAATACGCCAAATATGTGTATGTTTGCATTAAAATAGAAATCAAAGTGTAGCAGCTGCAGCATGACATTTTTTTAGTTGTAGCAGCAAGGGCTAATACAAAGTTTCATGACTTGAAAGAAATGAAATATACAATGCAAGGTACCAGTTCAAAGAAACTCAATATAATGTACTGCTACAAACAAGAAAGGTGTTGGTAGAGGGAGGTTCCCTAGCAAGTATGCCTTACAGAAAAAGGAAAAGTCAAACACCTATTGCCTTACAGAAAAAGAAAAAAAAAGACAGCAAAGATAAGTCATTCAAAAAGACACCAAATATAGATTGAGCAAGAAGGTTAACATACCCAGCAGTCATGATGATGAGAAAGAGATTGCCATTTCACGAGGAATTGATACTGGAAATCTGCCTCCTGAAGAATTCGTCTGTGGCCAACAAGTCTTTGGATTTTTTTTGATGTTAACACTTCTGTCACCTTGACTGCTGGTGCTGCATTGCTTTTGCACCAAGAACATTCCCAGGTGCCTATAATCTCTTGCAAAGGAGGATCAAGACAAAAGGTGTGGAAGCTACGAGAACAAGTGGAATTCTTGCATTTGATGAGGAAAGAGCAGGCAATTCCAATCTGCAAAAAAAATCAGTTAGGATTTCATGTAAAGATTGGGGGGGGGTAGAAAATTAATAAATCAGAACTGCTGACAAACCTTACAGATCGAACAACTAGGTCCACCCGAATTACGTCTGCCAGGTTTTATAGAATTGTGCAATAATTCATCATCTGAAAGACACAAGTCATTAGCGAAACATGCACGACGTAATATCAACTTTACGACAAGCATTCTGAGGTTCCACACAAATCATTAAGAAGCACAGAAGGAATGGTTGTCAATTCATGCGATATTATAGATGCAAGCAACAACAAATGCATTGAATAAAGGTGATCAACAATATTGAATGTGTTTAGATGTGACTCTGGATCATTGATGCTTCGCACTTCCATGTATAACAGGTAGGAGTAAAAAACAAAATATTTCCTAGGTATTTTACATATTTGTACGGTGATATTAATTAATTGTGCACAATGCAAGATTGCAATAATCTCTTGACCACAAAATCATATTAAATTATAAAGTAGGTGATACATTTATCGATCATAAAATGATTAGTTATTACCTGATGAAGAAGAAGTCGACAACATGCAAGACGAAGCTTCAGTGTAACTCTCCTGAAAAGGTTCGATGAGATATTTATTACTTCATGAAGAACAGTAGGTCGAGTTCTTTTGTTAGTTAACTTACCTCTGAAACATCATGAGCTTTCCGCTTCTCCTGTAGGCGCTTTGACGTTCTCCTGCATGGGACAATCTTCTTGCGATCTGTGGTAATTTCAGTAGTTAATGTAACATGCTTAAACAAGGTTATGTTATTTGTATATTAGCTATACAGAAGGGAATAAATTCAACTGTTAGGTCCTAATCTTTCTGCTCGTGTAAATAGGAAAGGTGCAAGTTTCACATAGTGCACAAATCAATGAAGATATATATTGAAAAAGAATGCATTGAGGAAAATAGATAGTTTCTTCCATTCCGTAAAAAAACTCTATTCACATTGTTTTAAATGCATCCTTGGTTAAACAATATTTCAAAGTATTTTTTAATTATGTCAATTAAGACTTTCTAGCAGAAGAGAAACTACAAGTTATCCAATTTCCCAAATAAACTGGATTGAAGTTAATTACAAAATCACATGATCTGCAAACAAAAGGGTCAATTATGTCAAGCCATAACAAAGGGTGCCCACTTACTATCATCGGTGTCGCTATCATCATCAGCATATGAAATATTTCTGGGGCCCAGTCTGTTCCGAAGGCGTTTTGATCCTCGGCGGGGAGCCGAACAATTTTCATCTACATAATGCAAATTTTACATTTGTAGTAGCAGACTGGCAGCATATCAGAAATCATGCAATAGTTGAGAATTGTAACAATACCATAATCATCAGAGCTACTTCCCAGGGTGTCTGTCTTCACCCACATCACCATCAAAATAATCAGATGTAAGCCTCTCCCTGAGACGCTTTGATCTTCTAGAAGCTAACTTCCCGGCGTCTGTAAAATATCAATCTGGAATAAATCTTCAACCAAACAAATTTATTAGGATCAGCAAGACAGAATATATTGTAAATAACACTGTTACCATCCTGGGAACTGCTCGAGCTATTTGCAAATACATCATCTTCACTCTCCTTGCCACCCAAATCCCTCTTCCCAGTTGGTTTGGACCTCTTCCTAGTTGGTTTGCACCTTAGGCGCTTGGACCTTCTGCATGGAGCCAACTCTTGGCAACTTGCTGTGGCAAGAACATCAAACTCTAAATCAACAGGTCAAAACAAACAATAATAATGACTAGCTATACAACATTCTAGACTAATATTGCAAATACCAACATCTGGAGTTTTATATAGTGTTCATTTTGCCAAAACAAATCAAAACTGAGCACAACCAAGGTGAACACAATGCAAACAACCGTACTACACATTAACAGGACAAGCGGCACCCGTAATTCCGAGAAATTGTCAGCTAAGCAAACTCCGTCACTCACCTTCATCGTCACTCTCTGCCCCATGCTCCTCAGCGGCTGCGGAATCGATCGTGATCGTCTTCCGAAGACGCTTCAGGTTCCTAGTGGAACCTGGCTTCCCCTCATCTGCATAAATCGAAACCGGGATTAAGCCGAAACGATAAGGGTATAACAAATTACCAACCCCGTGCCGTCCGAGAAGTTTGAACTTTCAATCTCACCTTCCTCCGGGGCACCAAGCGGGCTAGCCTCAGAGGTCTCCACCTCGCAAACCTCCGCGCTTGTTATTTCTTCGTTAGGTGACTTCGTCTGTGGATCTACCTTCGCATCATCTGCCAAATATGTGGGGATCAGAATGTTACGGAGTTTCGAACGCCTTGATCAAAAATGTATTTCATACTTCCGCCACAGAATATAGCGCTCTCCTCCAAATACGCGAAGAGCACACAAATGGAGGGGGGAAACCGTTCCCAGCCTCATCAAGAACCGATCGGAGGACGTAAAAACAGCAATGCTACTTCCTTACAATCCTGAACCCAAAAAAAATCCACCAGAAATCCCCTAATAAAATCCGAATCCCCAACGGTTTGATTTTACAAACTCTCGAACCAACCAAACGCACAGTAACAAAAACCCCCAAAACCCCCAGATCGATCACTAGCCCGAACAAAATCCCCCAAAACCGATCGCGTCCAGAACCCAGATCCAGCCTACTCACCATCACCGAGCTTGATCGGCTCGACGTCTACGACGTTCTCGCCTCGCGCCCTAGAGGCGGCGCCTCCGCGTCCACCTCGCCTACCTCGCCCCCTCCCACGCCTCCCGCCTCTCGCCGGCGGCATCCCGACTCGGCGGCCGCGCAGTGACTAGGGTCTTCCCGAATTCGAAGCGACACAGAAGACAACGGCCCGGAGCGTGGCTTCGCGAGTACGGAGAGAGGAGAGGCCGCGAGTATGTGAACTTGTGAAGGTTTCGGGGGACAAAGGCGTGGGGAGAGTGTGTGATGGGGGAGACGGGGTTTAATAGCTCGCGGTGGGTGGGAGAGGCGGGAAGGTCCACGAGCTCAGCTTCCTCACGTGGAACCGGTGTTTGACGCGTGAGGAAACCGACCGGTGGGCCCCATACGGTGAGCTTGGTTCTGGTTTTCGGTGGAACTGGTTCACGGAAATGGTGCGAGGGCGGGAAGTCGAAGGGGCTGGGTTGCGGGGAGCGGGAGGAAAAAGTTTTTTTGGTGCGGATGAGCGCACGGGGAGCCTGTGCGGTGAGGTGGTATCCACCGTCCGATTGAGAGATGTCAGGGTGATGTGCGGCTGCTGTGTTTTATCTGGGTTGATTTTTCGTGGCTACTTTTTTGGGAGGTTTCACGCTGGATTTCGGGATGCATCCCCGTAATTATCCATTAGCCCTGTGCCCCTCTGTCAGTGGTAGGTGAGTTTTTTTTTTGTTAAAAAAGGTGGGGTGAATTTTGATGGAAACATTATGAACATTTATTTCCATCCCAATATTAGCCAGTAGAAGATTAGATATTTTATAAAACTATAGGCTTCATCTTTTTCTTATCCTTATCCTTATTAGCCAAAATTTTAATTTTCAACCTTAAATTTGGAGCTAATTTTTTAGGCTTTTTCATCGAATTATTTTTCAGTTTTTTTAGATCGCTAAGAACACGTATATAAAAAATTTATTCGAAAATTATTTTTCGTTTGCAAATATACCGTTTCATTTATTCCGCAAAATAAGCGAGACGTTGGCTTATGTATGAATCTAAACGGGAAAGAATTATGAATCTAATAGTATCTTATGTCCAAATTGATAGGACGTAACTCATGTCTAGATTCATAATCCTGTTAAATATCTTATCTTACACACTCTCTTTAAATAAACCACCTCGTATTAGGAGATTGATTTATTTTGATAAGGAGGGAGTACTAATTAGCAACATTTTAAAACATAGGTACTAATTAAATCTGGATAAGGACAACAGCTATAGCATAAAACAGTCAATTTCGCCACAAAATTGAACTTAGGCACGCTTCGGCTCAACCAAACGAGTGCATCACTTGATTTGGTTCCAACTCGGGCACAAAATTATGGTGCAAAATCAGCTTCATTTAGCGTGTATCATAGTTAGCATTGAAATTTCTCATCGCTCTAAAACATTAATTTCGTTTTTTACGATCTTACAACAATGAACTGTAACTCCAGGCCGCCATTTGTTGCGTCTCGAACTGCTGCCACATCATCTGCTCGTTCGCAAGAAGCCGCTGCCTCGCCTGCATGTCCATCATCTGAACGTACGTCGGCGGAGGCACGGCCAGCGACGCCGCGAACGGGTCCGCGACCTCGCCGCCGGTGGCCCCAGGTGGCGGTGGCAGTGCAAGCACCGTCGCGCTCTGGGTGGCGGCGAACTTGCTCGCCGACTGCACAAGCGCCGTCTCCCAGTCATCGCATTGGTCGTCGTCAAACGTCTCCCACTTCGGCGCCGGCGTCGCTGGGTCATCGCCGAACAGGGACAGTGTCAGATCCCGGTCTTGCTCCTCCGTCGACAATGGCGTCGATTCTTCCCCAAGGTTCAGGAAGTCGGCCATGTGGTCGTCGACCACGACGAGTGCGCCTGCCGGCGCCGGCTCAGCTGGCGATGCCTTGCTGCTATTGTCGCCATTGCTGGCAATGGGGGCAAGCGGGCTGGACGGCGCCGGCGGCGTGCACCTCCACCACCGAGACGACGCCGGTTGTCTATCGCGGATGAACTCGTCCATGAGGTCCAGCTTCTTCTGCGCGACGCGCTCGACCTCGGGGATTTCGGACGGGCGGCAGATCGTGGCGGATCTGCACCACGAGTAGAACTCGTCGAGCTCGTCGAACAGCTTGGCGATGCTGGTGAAGATGGAGTGTACGCGCACGCAGCAGGGGGTCTCCAGCTCGGCGAAGCGGTCGGCGAGCATGGCCATCACCTCGGTGAGCTCGCGGTACATCACCGCGCTCTCCTTCACCAGCCTGTGCAGCGCCGCCGCCACCACCTTGTTCGTCCTCGCCTTCCCCGTCGGGCGGCACCCGATGAACCGCTGGAGTATGTGCTTCAGATGCTGCGCCTTGGAGACGAGCTCCTCGGTCGTCGTCGTCCCCGTCGCCGGCGTGTCCCTCGGCACCAGCGCCCAGACCTCGGCTACCGCTTCGCCCACCTCGTAACTCCCGTCGGTGATGTCGGGGAAGCCGTCGCGGCGACCGTCGGAGCACCATTTGCCCTGGCTGGCCACGCGGCCCTTCATCCGGTGCTTGAGCCTGTCGTCGAGGTAAGCGGCGTAGGCGCGCACGAACCCGTGGAAGTCCCACGTCGCGCGGGAGCGCGACGATCGGTGCGGGAACCGGTGCGACACGTCGAGCATGCGCCTCCCGCGCCGCGTGGCGAGGAACACCTCCTGCTCGTACGCCGGGTCGCCGTCGGCGAGCAGGCGGTGCACCAGCGCCAGCGCCTTGACCGCCACGGCCCACGCCCGCGTCCGCCCGAGCCGCCGCGACACGGCGGACACGCAGGCGGCCACCCGCGCACGGGAGTAGCACGTCAGCGTGAGGATCTCCTGGACGTGGCGCTCGTCGCCAGGCACGCTCTCCCCGTGCGCCGTCGCCTTGACGATGGCCACGGCGAGGTCCGCGGCCACCTCGTCGGCGCCGCCCACCCTTGCGAGCCCGACGCTCGTCCTGTCCTTGACCGCGCCCAGCGCCGCCCGGAGCTTGCTCGGCGCCATCGATCAGAGCTTCTCACGAATTAGGGCTTGTTCGATTAATCCCAATACAGAGGGATTGGAGGGGATTGAAGAGGAATAATTTCACACCACGATAGGTGTGAAATAAATCCCCTCCAAATCCCCTTCAATTCTCTCCGTGAGAGGGATTAAACGAACGAGGCCTTTGAGAGTAGGAGGAGACGGAGGGAGAGGAAGAAATATGTAGACGCGCGCGGGAAGTCTTTGGCGGTTGATGGGCGCGGACGAGCGGTTGAGGGGGATGCCGGCCGTTTGGGCCGCGTGTTTCTCTCGGTGTTTCTGTTGGGGCCTGAACTTAACTGACGAAACGGTGTTTCCTCGTCTGTTTGACGCGGCTTTGGAGGCTTAATTTAGTATTCCAGCTGACTGGTGACTGCTCCGTCATGAGGTGTTTCCTGTGGGATTGCAGCTCAAGCTTATGCAGAGAGCATTACCTATTTACAGTCTTGTCGTTTTGTTATGCTTATACTTACTCCCTCCATCTTTAAAAAAAAAAAGACAAATCCTGAATTTACGTGTCTAACGTTTGACCATCCGTCTTATTTAAAAAAAATATGGAAAAAAATTAAAAAGACAAGTCACGCATAAAATATTAATCATGTTTTATCATCTAACAACAATAAAAATACTAATTATAAAAAAAATTATATAAGACGGGAAGTCAAACGTTGGACACGGAAACCCAGGGTTTGTATTTTTTTTTTAGAACGGAGGGAGTATAAGCTAGTGAAATTTAAATTTTAAAATTTTATTTTACAGTTGATTTTGTGAGTTTTTTTTATTGTAGTTTACTCTATAACATTTGCTTTTGAATTGTTAAATACATGCATATACGAGTTTTATCTGTAAATTATTTTTTTAATAAGCAATACAGATAAGCATGTATGAGCATAAGCCAAACGATGAAACTGTTAGTTATCTTAAGAGTATTAGGGTAGTAACTGAATTACTGTTAGCTATTCTCAACAAATTATGGTTGGTGCTAACACTTAAAATTCACCTTGTATCCTCTGTTGAACAAATTATGCAGTGTGTTCCTTCTGAAAGATAGAACATTTTGTAGGGGGGAAAAGGCCCACATAGACATAACTAGGCCCACTGCTGCAGTGGGTCTATTGGGCTTGACCAGGCTGGTTAACTCTGAAAAAGCTAGTGGGCTTTGACGGTTTGACCCATGATTTTTTTTCATAGCCAGGCCCTGGCTAATTTTGCTTGCTTTCTTCATCTGTCACCCCTTCAAATTAAACACTTCGACTTCGAGAGCAAAGATAACCGTCAGGTCTGTATCATTCACGCGATTACGTTATGTCATTCTAGGCTAGTCCTCTCTCCGTTTCAGAATGTATATATAAAAAGACATAGCAACACTTATAATACCAACTTAGGGCAGTTTTGAATTGCTACCAAAATTTGCCATACCAATATTTTGGTAGCATAAATAGTATCCACCATTTGTTTGGATTGGTGTCAACATTTTAGTAATGCCCATCTCAAATTTGGTAGCAATCTAGAACTTTCTTCACTATGATATCACAATTTGGCTAGATTTTGGTAGCAAGCCAAATAAGATGAATACAAATTTATTCTACCAAATAATTGGTAGTGCCAAAACTTGCCTATGTTTTGGCACTACCAAAAAATTGGTAGGGCACCTATCCAAACAAGCCCTTAATCTCATTAAATACACCATTAAATATATTTTATAATATATTTGTTTGGCATAGAAGTATTACTACATTATTCTATAAACTTGATTAAACATAAAAGGAAGTTTGATTTATAATGAAATCGAAACACCTTATGCTGAACCAGAGGGAGTAGGGGTCTAGAACTGCTAATCTAAAGAGAAGAATCAGGTCACAGTCGCCTTGTGATGTGTCTAGCATCGGATGTTTCAGGAGGTAATCAAGAATCTGAACCGTTGTAACACTGTCATCTTCAGCACCCCTGAAAACGTGCAAAAGATGCTATGTTTGAAGTTAGACCGAAGCAATCAGCAGTAGGATTCAGAATACTCCAGTTCTTCTGGTTTCACAAACTTTGCTGCGCGACATACTGCAGTCTTGAATCGCATGCGCCTATTTATTTTGGGTTAAACCGGGTTTCTTGACAGGATAATACTCCTACTAGCACCAATTATTGATGAACACAGCCAGATTCACGATATGATGAAAACAGACGGATAAAACAAAAATAAACGATGAAGAGAACTAGAGAAGGCAGAAAGTATATTTTAATGCGGTGATAGTGTACTCTGTACACTCATCAGTAGCAAATTTGAAGTTTTCCTGAGCTTGGCTGTATGTTGCCCTTCATTCTCTGCCCCTGAAACGCGGATGAGTCGACAAGGCAAGAAAACCAGAATCATATGTAGATGCACTCATGCACAATGGTTTTTTCAGAATAAATAGCGGTGTACTACTATTTATGACGAAGCAATCAAGGACAAGAATAATAGTATCAAGAAAGTAACTAATCCAGCTCATACAGCTGGGAAAGAAGTGTGTGTCCCCTCGAATACTGCCCGGCCGGGATGCAATCTACTCCATATATTGTTATCAATTGCTCATCATCAATTGCATCAATTGTATATAAATTCGTTCGGGCGATGAATTTCAAGCAGAGAACGTGAATCCTCAAAATCTGATCATGTTAAACTGAAGGAAATAATGAGATCCATTGATGAACGGCAATGCTCAATTGCACAACAATGATTTGAGAAATGAGATCCTAGCGAAACACCGCCCTTCGTTTCAGGGAGCGTTTATATTTGTCACGGTCACACACAGGCAGATCAAAACTGCTATAGGCTTTTTCTTCAGCTTGCATGATCGATCGGCAGAAGGCCATGCGATCTTCTTTCCTGCCATTGATTCATCATAATTCAGAGAGAACGCTATAGGCTTTCTGCAATGACCTGCACCAATTAGTCATCTTCAAGCTGAAGGCCATACCACCATTAAGTCGCGTAACAACAGAAGATCTTTCTCTTATTTTCCGAAACGGTCACATCAAGAGATAGCCTAGCCTGTTGCGATCCGGCCATCAATTAGAACCGTGCACCCAAAATTAAAGTTGACACATCGCTATCCAAATCACCATATCACCAGCCCATGTATTGATCAGCGTAGAGAGAGAGACGCAGTGCCAGAACCTGACCCAAGAACAGCATGAGCAACATGCCGAACTCCATGAAAGAACCAGACATATACATGCACTAACATATTGAGAACTTGTTGTTGTGTGAGATGGAAGCTATACTAGCTTTCATGATTGATCAATGATCAGGTACCACAGTCTGAACATAAGTTTCTCAGAAAAATTGAGTGTAGTCTGGACCATGAAAAACTGAAAATGCAAAAGCACAGACTTCTCCTTTCTAACAGGATGACGGGAATGCTAGTGCACGGTCGCTGCCCCGGCAATCAGCCGAATTGCACGAAATGATGAAAGATCCAAGAACTCTTGCCCAAAAACCAGCTTTTTTTTTTTGTTCCCATCGCGTCGGGTACTCGGGGTCACCTGTCACGTATCCGCCCGTGGGCCAGGAATCATGTTGGCGCGTAGAGCCAGCCAATTTCTGCGTGCACTTTTCCACCTTTAATTTGCTCGCAGCTCACTCCCCCACAACTCCACAAGGCCAAAAGCTCTTTGTCGTGCTGCTATACTTAGAGAAGGTACAATAACAGGCTATAAACCAGCTATAAATATATTTTAAAGGATAAGAAAAGAGAGAGAATAGTAGTGGGCTACATATATGTAACCAGCTGCATCACGGACTCCAAGACGTAATAAGAGTATGACAGGGTGGGACCAGATATTAATAGCATAGTAAGCAACTATGGTACGAATTGGCTATTATGTTGGCTATATATAATTTAGAGTTATTAGTGGGCTATACTATTAAACTTGCTCTTAGAGCAGGTACAATAGCAGGTTATAAACCAGCTGCAAATATATTTTAAGAAGATAAATGAGAAGAGAGAAGAGGAGCGGGCTACAGATTTATAGCCAGCTGTAGCACGGACTCTAAAACACAGTGTGTGTATGATAAGTGGGACCATGTATTAATATTGTAGTATGTAACTATTGTATAAATGAGCTATTAAATTGGATATAGATGAATTAGAGTAAGTAGTTGGCTATACTATTAAACTTGCTCTTAACTCTCCCATACTCGAATTTTGTTACACGTTCTTCAAACTACTAACAACACATTTCATATTAAAATCTTTTTATATAAATGTTATTTTAAAATATTAGATAAATTATTTTTAAAAAGATCGAAACTTAATTAATTATAAACCGATGGGTGTTTTTTCTTTTTTTATGTGCGTACTTAGGCCCCATTTAGTTCCCTAAAATTTTTTTTCCTAAAAACATCACATCGAATCTTTGGACATATGCATGAAGCATTAGATGTAGATAAATAAAAAAAACTAATTACACGGGAGGAAATCACGAAACGAATCTTTTGAGTCTAATTAGTCCATGATTAGCTATAAGTGCTACAGTAACCCACATGTGCTAATGCCGGGTTAATTAGGCTCAAAAGATTCGTCTCGCGGTTTCCAAGCGAGTTATGAAATTAGTTTTTTCATTCGTGTCCGAAAACCCCTTCCGACATCCGGTCAAACGTCCGATGTGACATCCAAAAATTTTCATTTCCTCAACTAAACACACCCTTAATCGAACTTAAACAGGGCTTGCCCATTTGTATTATCATCTCCTGTGATCAACAATGATATGGCAGCAAAATGCAGGCAGGCAGGTAGAGACGAACAGATGACGCTGTATTCCGAATTCCGATCGCTTTCTTGCAGCTTCTTGTGCCAACTTTTTCGAGTCGCTACAAGTCTAGAAATTCAGTAGCATGTGGCAAGGTGTAGGTTTATTAGCCAGTGGGACAGTGCCGTTCAAGGATCGTTCGCTTTGTTTGCTTGCATTTGCAACTTTGCACATATGGTCATATACGAGTGGTGTCCGTGGGCAGTCCAAAGTTAGTAGGTGTGATTTAGGATTCCGTTTGCCGGACGCGCGCATCGTCGTCGCATGCATATGCAACAACAACAAACGTACGTATGCTGTATCTGGTGAGTCAGTATCTCGATCCATTGTCGTCCATTCCTAACAAAACACAAGCTGAATTTGCTGAAAGTAACCACGC